AGAGAGAGAGACACACACACACACACCTCCCTTCTACATCCCCAAGTGCCTCTTGGCTTACCTTCCGCTGGGCCTGTTCACTTACACGTGCAAAGGAATCTGCTAGCTCTTTTTTCTCTCTTTCCAAATCCGCCTGGGCTTGCCGGGCCACGGTCACCTGTTTGGTCACCTCTGCATTCTGAAAGAGGAGTAGAAAGTCTTTAGCTGACATCACTCGGGCTCAAAGCCCATCTTCCTTCTATCAGACTGTGAGTAACAAGAAGGCAGACACGGGAGAAGATTTTTTCTACCCAGAAGGAAACCATGACCTTCAGATGTTAGACTTACAGGTGTTTACGAAAGTATACAAGAGTGGGTAGGGGTAGGGTTGTCTGATGTAGTATTTTTCCAGGCTGGCTTGGAATTCACTATGTTGCCTAGGCTAGCCTCAGACTCACAGCAATCCTCCTGTCTCTGCTATCTAAGTTTGGGAATTTCAAGTGTGGGATAGTATACCAACCTGTCTATTTTTTTGCAATAGAATCTGACTATTTAGTCCTGCCTGGTCTCCAGTGTTGAGTTTGAGATAGGACCTTGCCTCTAACTGATAGGATTATAGGCCAGTCCCACTATGCCCAGCTCAAATGAAGGGTAATTCTAAGTATGGCGGGCACACAAAACAGATCTCAAGAAGTCTTAAAAAGCTGGGGTTTGGCCGGGTGGTGGTGGCGCACACCTTTAATCCCAGCACTTGGGAGGCAGAGGAGGGTGGATTTCTGAGTTCGAGGCCAGCCTGGTCTACAGAGTGAGTTTCAGGACAGCCAGAACTACATAGAGAAACCCTGTCTCGAAAAACCAAAAAAAAAAAAAAAAAACCAAAAAAAAAAAAATAAAAACCGGGGTTAGGGTTCCTGGCACCCATGCTAGGCTCACAATTTGCCTTTAACTTCGGCTTCAGAAGTCTGACGCCCCTACTGGCCTCCTCAAGCAACTGCATACACATGCCCACACACAAGCCTACAGGCCATAGGAGGAAGAAAACATACAGAGGAATGCAGCTTGGAGACACGCTCCCCCCCAACTCCCGCCAAGGCTTGCACTGTTTCTCCCGTGGAGTATATGGGAGGATTAGAAAAGGCCTAAGTACCTACCTTCCGCAGCAGGTCAGCATGGTTCTGCACCAGTTCACTGTACTTCTCCTTTAACTTGCTATACCGCTGCTCATTGGCCTGGGCCTTTCCTACATTGGAAAGATCAAGATGAGGTCTCTGCCCTGGCTGGGATCCCCCTCATCCTCCCTCCAGTAAGGTGGGGACACTAACAATATTTTTATCTTTTTTTTTTTTTTAAGATACAGTCTCTTGAAGCTCAGGCTATATAGGCAACATGACCTTGAACCTCTGATTCTGTGTGCTGGGACTGCAGGTGTATACCACCATACTCTGCTAGAAGTTACATAGTCATTAGTTGGGGGTTTTCTGGAAATAAGGTCTTGCTTTGTAACCCAAGCTGGCATTATGGTCATCTCCTGCCTTAGCTTCTGAGTTCTGGAGTTACATGTAATCACTGCTACACTGGACATAAAAGGTTGTCTTCTTTAAGTAAACTTTTCCCTGCAGACCAGTGCTTACAAACACAGCATTCACATCAGCAGGGCTTCAAGCTTCACGCTCACGCCCCCCCTCCCCTCGCCGTTCCCTTAGGTCTTTATCCAGCTTCCTCTCCTAGGAAGCTCCCTCTCCCAGGATAGGGACTCAAGCCATCACTGTGTCCTTGGTTGTTTTGAGCCCAGCAGTGCCACCAAGCCTGTTCCTACTTCGGAGGACAAGAGTCAGCACCCCGGCTTTACTTCCATGAAGAAGGCGTGATCTGCCTTGCTCCTGCCCACACCCTCAGGCCCGGCCCCGCCCCTCACTTTCTATCTCAGTCAGGCTGCGCTGCGCCTTCTCCGTGTCCTCTCGCTGCCTCTTCAATTCATCCAGCTCTGTGCGCAGGAACTCGCAGTCATCCGTAGCCTGTCGTCCCAAGTGCTGCTGTTCGGCCAGCTCTGCCTCCAGCTCACTCACGCGACCCTTCAGCTGCAGCATGGCCCTCTGGCTCTGTCAGGGGAACCCGAGGTGAGGAGCTCGCTACTGCCAGGCTGCCCGTGGGGGCACCAGGCAGGGCAGGAATGACTTATCACATTGCTGGGACTCACCAATTATGATTGATCTCTGAATCGTCATATTTCCCGACCCATGGATTCAACCAACCACGGACAGAAAACTTTTTGTTGTTGTTGTTCTGGTACTCTGGGTAGAGAGCCTAGGGTCTTGCTCATGTGACCAGTGTCTATATTGCAGAGTGACATCCCTATCCCCTCACTGGGGGATTCTAGGCAGGGGCTCTACCACTGAGCCATGCCCCCAGCCCCTCACTGGGGGATTCTAGGCAGGGGCTCTCCCACTGAGCCACGCCCCCAGCCCCTCACTGGGGGATTCTAGGCAGGGGCTCTACCACTGAGCCACGCCCCCAGCCCCTCACTGGGGGATTCTAGGCAGGGGATTCTAGGCAGGGGCTCTACCACTGAGCCACGACCCCAGGCCTCCAGCCTGTTAACGTGATTCTCACCAAGGCCTCCACCAATGAGCCATACCTCCTGCCCCTTCCTGGGGCATTTTAGCTCAGCGCTCTACAACGAAGCCACACCTCTAGCCCATTGTAGATGAATTTTCTGCAAGTACGCTATAACTGAGGCATATCCTCCAGCCCCTACTGAGGGACTCTAGGCAGGTGCTTTGTCACATGCTCAGGCCTTCTGATAGATTTAGGCAAGCAATCTATCATTGAGCTACAGCCTCAGCTCCTAAATCAAGTTTTCTCAAGAGCTTATGAGAAGTGGTCTTTGTCATCACTGATGGTGAAGCCATAGTCATGGTACACGGGATACTGGTACCCAGCTTAACTGCATACCTAAAGTCACGTGTTATGACAACAAATTCTAATTGAGACCTTGAGAGGAGCAAACTCATTGATTTTGGCATATGTATTTTATTGGTGGTGTTGGTTTGGTTATTTTTTGAGACAGGATTTTTCTATGTAGCCCTGGCTGTCCTGGAACTCACAGTGATCCACCTGCCTTTGCCTCCAAGTGCTGGGATTAAAGGCCAGCACCATCATTTACAGCCAGGCATGTCTATTAATCAACCTGTCTTAGGATGGGTCCAGCCAATCTCATGAGACATCAAGAATGCCATGTGTCGCATGCTGGTGAAACCATGGATCCTAGAACGCACCTCAGTCTTCATGTTGTCCAGCTGTCCTGTCAGTCCACTGATCTCCCTGTACAGACGTTCAATCAAGTGGTCCCTGAGAAGAGAAAAAACAGGCCTGGCGTCACTATGTCCCGCCCCTCTCCTCCATGTAAGTCGGGAGACTAGAGGTCCAAGCTGGTGTTAACTGGGGCCATTCTCTTTAAGAAAACAAACAACTTTTCTTGTTATTAGATATTTATTGGAGGAAGATTGTCTCTATTCCCACCACGACCAGCCTTGTCTCCTTTCCTCTGGGGTGCTAGAATTATACACATGTGCTACTATACCTGCTTTATTTAGTACTGGGCTGTCTCGTATGCTAGACAGGCACTCTACAAATGAAGTTGCATCTCTAGACCCGTGAATAATAATAATAATAAATAATAATAATGATGATGATAATTCTTTGCTGTATAAATTTTACAGTCAACTTTTCTCATCTGAGATTCTATACTTGTGCATTCAACTGATTGGGGATGGAAAATATTTGGGGATTAAAAAAAAACTGCATCTATATTAACTACATATAGACTTTTGTTCTTGTCATCATTTCTTAAACAACAGAAAAACGGGCTGGTGAGACAGCTCAGCAGGTAAAGATGCTTGCCGCCGAGCCTGACAATCTTTCTTAGATCCCTGGGATCCATGCGGTAAAAGGAGAGAACTGACATCTGGAAGATATGCTCTTGTTTATACACTAATGGCATAGCGTGTATGCAGCACCTCTCTGTCCCAGCACACACACACACACATACACACACACACACACACACAAACAGTATTCATCTTATAAAGGAGTCTTGCACAGTGGCTGAATTTTATATCCCTGTCTGTCTGTGAGGGTGATTCTGGATACCCTTGGATACCTAGTGTTATTGGACTTTAAACATTAGGTATCTTACCCTGATACCCACAGGTTCACAGTGATGGATCTAGGATTCAAGGTGAATATGTTTGTAGAAAGGGTAAGAAATTGAGACAGCTTTTCAAATTTACGGTATGCCTCTGCCCGTTAGTATGTGCCCATGTGTGCAGGGTCTCTTGGAGGCCAGAAGAGGGTGTTGGATACACAGGAGTTTCAGGAAGTTGTGAGCCACTCAATGTGGGTACTAGGAAATGAACTTTAAAGATTTTATTTATTTTATATATATGGTGAGTACACTGTAGCTGTCTTCAGACACACTAGAAAAGGGCACCAGATCCTATTACAGATGGTTGTGAGCCACCATGTAGTTGCTGGGAATAGAACTCAGGACCTTTGGAAGAGCAGTCAGTGCTCTTAACTGCTGAGCCACCTCTCCAGCCCGGAAATGAACTTTAAGTAGCAAGGGCTCTTAGCCACTAAGCCATTTCTATAACCCTGGTCCCTTTCTTAGCAGGGAGATGGAACCCCAGCCCTTAGCATGCTGAGTTAGTGGTCCCACTAGTGACATTCCACCTGTTTCCAAAAAGCCCAGATACTAGGGATTCTTAGTGTGTGGCTGAGGTGGATCTGTGAGTGAAGGCCCTTGCCTCCAAGCCCGACAACCTGACTTTGATCCCTGGACTCCATATAAATGCAGAGAGAAACGACTCTGTAAAATCCTCTGTCTTCCACATGTACCTTGCCACATCCCCTGACCCACAACCCACATATAATCAAACAAACGAATACAACAGAACATTTTCTTTTAAAAGACGTGCTGTAGCTAGGCAGTGGTGGCGCATGCCTTTAATCCCAGCACTTCGGAGGCAGAGGCAGGCAGATTTCTGAGTTCAAGGCCAGCCTGGTCTACAGAGTGAGTTCCAGGACAGCCAGGGCTACACAGAGAAACCCTGTCTCGAAAAACCAAAAAAAAGACATGCTGTACTACAGAGATGGCTCTGTGGTTAAGAGTACTTGCTGTTCTTGAAGAGAACCCAAATTCAGTTCCCAATACCTATGCAGTCAAAACTGCATCTGTTTCTGGCCCACATGAATACACAGACATGTACACATAAAGCACAGACACTAAAAAAAGATGTTGAGTAATAAAGAAGACACCTGACACTGACCTCTAGGTTCCACACATGCATGCATAGATAGGCAAGTGCACCAGCACACACGTGTGTATATATCGACTGCCTGCCACTCACATACATGTAAAAACATACACACATGTATATACATGTAAACACACATGCATATGCACACATGCAAACACATATACACAGAATCCAACACCAAACAAAGGAGATGGAGGACATCTGTGGAATAACACTTGAATTTGAATTCTGGCATAAACACACGGATACACACAAGCACACACATGTACTTACACACACAAACACACACATGTACTTACACATACACAAACACAGATGTACCTACACACATATACACACACATAAAACACATAAACTCACATACACAAACATACTCACATAAACAAACATGTATTTTCATTTTCACATACATAAATACAAATAAGAACACACACACACACACAGACAAACACACACAGGTAGAGCCCCTTCCTCTTGGGGTAGCCGTCACAGACAGACCACAGCTTAGCTTCATTTCTCGACCGTGTACTTCCACCCAGCATGGACTCACTTCTCGTCCTTGTTCACGCCATTTTGATTGTTGAAATTGAAGGGGTCGCTGCTCCACGAGCTGCCGAAGATGTCATCAAACTTGCTGTGAGACAAGTTCTGCAGCGAGCAGTGGGGTGGGGGAGGGGAAGCACAAGTCAGAGACCCAGGAAACTCTATGGGCAAGGAAGGGGTGCTTCCAATTTATTACTTTAGTTTATACCTCGTAGTTTAGTTTACACTATGTAGCTCTGGCTGGCCTGGAACTTGCTATACAGACCAAAATGGCCTCAAACTCATAGAAGTATCTGCTTGCTTCTGTCTCCCGATTACTGGAATTAAAGTGTATGCTGCCTTGCTTGGCTCACTTCTTCCTGCTTTTCTCTCTTTGTAATTAAATAAAACGTTAAAATATTTATTTATTTGTATATGTATGAGTGTTTCATCTGCATGCATGTGTGTATGTGTCTGGTGTTCACAGAGGTCAGAAGAGGGTGGGACTCTTCTAGCACTGGAGTTAAAGATGGTTCTGAAGCCAGGTGGTGGTGGCACACACCTTTAATCCCAGCACTTGGGAGGCAGAGGCAAGCAGATCTCTGTGAGTTTGAGGTTAGCCTGGTTTCAGGATAGCCAGGGCTACACAGAGAAACCCTTTTCAAAAAAAAAAAACCAAAACAAAAAGCACACAAACAGGAAAAAAAAAAAAAAAGACATTTGTGAGCCATTCTGTGGCTGCTGGGAATCAAACCCAGGTCCCCTCCAATAGCAACAAATGCTCTTAATGGCTGAGCCATCTCTCTAGCCCTTTGTTTTTTGTTTTTTAAGGTTTTTTTGAGACAGAGTTTCTCTGTATAGCCCTGTAGCCCTGGCTGTCCTGGAACTCACTCTGTAGACCAGGCTGGCCTCGAACTCAGAAATCCACCTGCCTCTGCCTCCCAAGTGCTGGGATTAGTCCTTTGTATTTTTGAGACAGGGTCTCACGATGTGCTTGTTATGTGGCTGAAGCTGACCTTGAACCCCTCTTCTCCTGCTTCCACCTCCCATGTTCTGTGATCAGCGGCTTGCATGATCACACTTGGTATCTAGAATCTGTTTTTATTTGACCAAGACCTACCTAAGATTACGCCAGGAGCCCAAGTGCAGGGGGCTCAGTCTAGGCTCCTACTTGGTTATGAGAAAAAGGAATCCAACGAGGTACTGTGGCATGCACATGTAGTTTACCCATCTTAGAGACAGAGGCAGGAGGATTTCCAGAGCCTGGGAGTTTGAGACCAGCATGGGCAACACAGTGAGACACCGTTTCCAAATAATAGGGTTGAGCAGACCTAATCTAAGCAGATACACCTGAGCTAGGAGCCTGTCCTGCCCTTCTGTCTGTTCTGGAAGGGCCACGTTTCTCTCACAAGGGGTCTGTCTCTACCTGCTGGGAGGCGTCCATGTCCATGAGGTCATCCTTCTCTAGGACAGGCTCACTGTCTGGAGATGACACCTCAGCCGGGATCACCACCACAGGACTGATGTGCTCTGACAGAGCCGAGGCTCGTAGGAAGTTGGGTGGATTCTGGAGAAGCGAGATGAGACACATCTTTAAAGGATGCTCAGAGGCCAGGCCCTGGGGCCATGCAGAGCCCAGCGGGCACACTCACCTCAGGCAACTGGGGGATCTGAATGAGCCGCTTGAAGTACTGCAGGTTGCTGGAACGCTGAAACAGATCTTTCAACCTGGGAGTGCAAAGGGATTCAGGGATGCTAAGTGTGGGTGGTTGTACCTCTTCAGCATCCATCCCCACCCTGTCACCTTAAAGGCACAAACTGTTGGTGGTTTGTCCTCTCTAATGGTAGAATTCAATTATGATACTACCGAGGCAGGGGGATGGCTCAGTGGGGAAAGGCATTTTGTCATTCCATGGAGTGAGCCTGGTGACTTGAGTTTGATTCCTGGAACCCACATACAGTGGAAAGATAGAACCAGCTCCATGAAGTTGCCCTTTGCCCTCTACGTGCATATTCCCACGGCACACACATCCGGCCCTCTCTCTCCACACCGCCCACACACATAAATGAAAATGAAATCTCAAAAATGATGTAACAGGCTGAGGTGTTTTTAGCTTGTTTGTTTGTTTTCTTTTTTGAAACAGGGTTTCCTTGTGTAGACAGAACTGCCTGTCCTAGAACTCTTTCCATAGACCAGGCTGACCTTGAACTCAGAGATCCGCCTACCGCTACCTCCTGAGTGCTGGGGACTAGTGGCTTGCACCACCATGCTCGGCACCAATTGCAGTCTTTTAGAGTGAATTCTCAGTCACCAGTGGTGAGAAAATAGTAACTAATACTACAGACCCCATTGAAGACTGGTCAGTCTCAGAGATGGCCAATCTTAACGTAACTAGATGGGATTTGGAATCACCACGGAGACAGTCTTCTGGGTGTGTCTATGAGGGTGTTGCCACAGAGATTTAACTGAGGTAGGAAGAATTCTTTCCCCATGAATTTGGGTAGCACCATCCCTCTGGGTTGAATAAGGACAAAATGGCTCCTTCGAGAAGCCTCAGAGGGGTGAAGGCATTTGCTGCCAAGGCTGAAGACATGAGTTCAGCCTCTGGGGCCCACAGGGTGGAGAGAGAGAACTGATTCTCTCAAGTTGTTCTCTGGTCTACACATGCATGTGCCCTACGAAATGAATACACATGTGCATGTGTGTAGGGAGAGAAACTGAGGCAGCAGCAGCTTCCTGACTATGGTTGCAGTGTGACCAGCTGGCCCAAGACCCTCCTGTCATGCCTTCCCCATCATGATAGACTGTTATCTCCTCAGACTGTGAGCCATAGTAAACACCCCCCCAACAACCCCCAGTCCCCAAACCCGTTTCCTCATGGCTGTGGAATACACACCGCCATTGGCAGATTTCTCTTCTGAGGAAGAGTGAATGTAGAGGAAGATGAAAGGGAAGTAACTTTTCTCCAAAGTTACGCGGCACCGAGCCACAGGAACAGGGAGGAACGTTTACTGACTAATGCAGATCCCTCTCTTGATTCTGAACTATTCACCACCAGGTTAGAACAGAAACTTCAAGTAGTCAGGGTCGAGCACGCTGTTGAGCTAGTCAGCCAAGTTCCAGGCATAGAGGAGTCACTCAAACACTGAGACAGAGGCGTGGCCAGCCTATACCAAGCCCTGATCCTGGAGAAATAGAGCCACATGGACACTAACATCCATCTCGGCC